AAATCATGACTTTAAAACCTTAGAACATTTTTTTGATGCGCCACATTTTTGAATTTAAGTATCATAAGAAATTAAGTATCAAGACAGTTGTAATTTGAGTTCATATCATTATCAGAGATCTAAAAAACCTACCACAGATTTCTTATTTATTCTACCTAAATCTATATTCATTATACTGTCTTTCACTTATGTAGTGAATTTATTCCCTCACAAGGCACAAACCTCTTGGTGTCTTCTCACTCAGCATTTTTGTTTGCACATAAATGCAGTTGTAATTTATAATTTTGACATATACATTTTACTAATATAATCAGCAAAATATATAGAAATAAAATAAGAAAAGAATCAAGTTCCAGCTTAAAGGCATCATCATACTCACAAGGTAGTAACTTACATATTAAAAAAAACAGTAGTAACTTACAGATGTTATCTATATTAGAAAATAGTTTTTATCTGCTCAAGCATATTACTAATTCCTCTCATATACACAAATATTGTTTGTTTTTGAGTTCTCTGTGAGTTTCTTATGCTGAGACATTAAACTAGATATCAAATAAAATAGGTAATTAAAATGTGTGCTTCAACTTGTTCATCTTTTTCCTCTGAAAAAGTAATTGTAGAGCCCTAGTTTTGATTGGAAGTACATGAAAGGGGTTAATAATTTCCTCCCCATTTTCTCACTGAAAATTTGTTTCAGAAATTTCTGTTTGTAGTAATATTGACTCTGGAGGTTTGGCACAATGAAAATAGTGCTGGGGAAAACACTTAATTCACTGCCAGTTGGGACATGGGCAGCTACCTTCTAAGAGAAAATTTACAAGTTTGTACTTTACAGTATTTATTCAGTGTAACACAGACTAACTTCTAACATTAGAAGGCAAGATCTTCTTAGCCAATGGTGTGAGAGAAGGGTGGTTTTCTGATTCTCAGATTTCCATTATATTATAGCAATGCAATCATGAGTTACAAAGCTTTTAAGACTGCAAAATATAGAAAGCATTTATCTTATGTCTGACATTTTCTAAATTTACATGATTTTTGGTGACAACCAAAAAGCAAGCAATTATTTATAATTGTGCTACAAATCTTCACACTCACTACAAGCTTAGAGAAATGAAACTCCTCCGGCTAAAGAGAACACAGAAACAACTGAAAGTATCTGGAAGTTGAAATGGAAAGAGAGCTGTCCAAGAACTTTCTAACTGAAATTAGTAGTTAGAAATGATGGGGTAACGATAGGCTGTGCAAGTTGCACAAGCTCCTCCGAAGGGTATCAGTCTGTTTGCTTACATTAGATTTTTAAAAATTACAGAGGCATCATAAAGGTTCAATGAATCTCATCTCCCCCCCTCCCAATTAATTCAAATATTATAACCATGGAATGTCTAACTACAAGGATAAGTTAGGATTATACATACATTCTCAATCCATTTTATTATAATTACTTACATTTTCCCAACTGATTAAGCAATCAACACTCTGTAGCGGGCAAAATGCATCAAACTGCTTATAGCAGTGGCCACTCAGTGGATTCCACAGAAAATATTCTCCATTTTCTTGCGTTGCAACATAAGCTACTTTCCCCTATATTAGCAAAATGTTTTGTTCCATTCCAAATACAAAATAAATAATTTTATATTTACTTATGTTTTTAGATTAATAAATTATTAATTTAGCATTCTTTTGAAAAAACATCTTTACATACATTAATATAAATATCTAGTTTAAGTTTTAGAATGAGAACACTGACAAATGTAAGGCAGAAATAGGAAACCTATGGCTCTCCAAATGTTAATTCCAACACCCAACAGTCCAGCCATCATGGTGCAGTTTCATTTCAGGTTCCCCATCCCAGCCATACTGGTTTAAGATAATAAGATAAAGGACATTACTGTATGTAATTATTTCTCAGTATTAAATCATATACTTTTAAAAGAAAAATAAAATTTGAAAAGTTTTTGTCATGAGTTCTACTGAAACAAATTAAATATTAAGGATAATTCACAATTACTTAATTTGAAATTAAACAACCCTCCAAATAACAGACATTTGAAATAATTTGTTCTGAAACAAATCCTTAATATCTATAATAGAGTGTTTTAAATCTGGAAATTAAATAAAAGGAATCAACTAGTATGGATGTGCAAATCAGTATAAATTGAAATCCCGTTGGTACAGTATGCATGCAAGAAATCGTTACATCAACTATTTTGGGCAAATTATTTTTTAAAACTGCAATAAATATGTAATTGTTATACAACTTCCCAAATGTATGCTTTTTTGTATGTAACCATCTCCAGTATAACTTTTTCTGTACATTATTTCTGAGCAAGAAACATTTCAAGATATGCTAGTGAATATTAATGAATACTGTGAAGTAGGTACCAGTTTAATTCGTGACCAATTCACTTGTGGAAGATCAGATCATTTTGTTTGAAAAGAAACCCATGAAAGATTCTTTTAAAGCCTCCTTAGCTTACGTTGCTTAATTTAACATATGTGCTAATGCTTTTCTTCATACAACAATCTCAGTCTGCTTTATAATTTCATTCATTATGTAGTCTACACTATTGGGGAAGCACAGAAACACAGTTTTAATTATTTTACTAGGCTTACTTCTAACACAGATGTTCCCAACAATACCCATGCTTTTTTCCCAATATACAGAAGATAATTACACAGAAGCACTGCATGTTCTTCTTTATTACCAACACCCAATTCGATGCAATGCTACCAAAAAAAAAAAAAAGATAGTTACTTGAAAAAAAAGTAGATGTATAGTTCATATTCATACATAGTAAAATGTCATTATGAATAGTAGAGTGCCATTATCATGAAGAAGTTCAGAAGCAGCAAGTTATTTCAGGTAGTCATATATTATTCAAAAAGTAACAAGATTTATACCCCTCTCCCCAGATTCCATAAGTTAATTGTTTCTTCTACTACATTTTTGAGGTTCAGAAGCTGAAAGGAGCCCAAAATAGGTAACACAACAAGCAACTGCTATGATCACATCAGCAGGAGCTGAAGTTGTTTTAATCAAGTGTCTGCAAAGAATGAATAACCCTTCAACTATTCTAGCAACCTTCCTAGCATCCTAGTAAAGAAGGTGCTGCAAAATATGGAAGAGCAATGATATCATAGTCTCTATATATAGGATGATGGCAGAAAAGTAAATATCCTTTGCTGGTTTCACCATTATGAGATATTTCTCCAAATGAATATTACTCGGTGTTCAATCTATCCTAACAATTCCTTCACTGCAGTTACATACTACTTTTGTACTTAAATAGAAAGCAATCTACCAGCCTATTAATGAACTGGCAAGCAGCGTAAGAAAAGCTTCCTAACATAAGGTGTAAAGATAAGTACCATAAGTGTAACTTCTGCTCAGTAAAAAAAACTCAGCTTCACTAAAGAGAGGATAGGCCCTGGATATCATCTGTACATTATTGAAAAAAGAAAGGAGTTTAATGGTAAGTGCGTGTCAGACTTCACACCAAGCACAGCAATAAATCCCTGCATTCCAGGCACTTGATCCCATGTTCTGGAAATTACTAACAACAGTCTCAGTAAGTTGCATTAGTTGCCTGCTTGCAAACAAACAATAAATTGTATATACACAGAAGATAGGCCTACTGTTGAATATAGATATAAAGCCCAATATATGTGAATGATCCAAATTTAAATTCTAGGCTTGGATCTGACTTCATCTTGCTGTTGAACATATTGCATATTGAGTACTTCTCCCAAGTCTGGTATTAGATGGTGATTACTCTTTCCAATATTTACCCAAACTCATTATTAATGAACATTACAAAAACGCTGGTGAATAATTTAAGCATGGAGAAAAAAGCTCAAGGGAGAGGCCTTTGAATTGGTAATATTCCTTCTAATATGCAAAAAATGATAATGAAGAAGTTGAATTGGCATGTGAATTAATCTGGAAGACTGTAAGAGGTTAGGAAATCTTTGGTCCGTAGGCTGCCAGGAAAGGACAGAATGCTTAATCCTAAACTACCTTTATCTGATAAATTGATTCATTTTTTTCAAGTCCAATACTGCTCTCTGCTCTCTATTCTTCTTGGGAACAATGAAGAATATTCAGCAAGATCCTACAGATACCTGAGCTGATAGAACTTCCTTGGTAGCCTGCAACAGATATCGTATTGTCTGTGGGACTAAGATAACTAAGATAATTTTCTTTCCGGAAAGACCTTGAAGAAAAGTGGAAACACTGTTGGGGAGACCAAATTTAGAATATAACTTTCCTGTTGGTTGCAAAGCACTCCTTGATCTACTTCTGAGCACTCCCACTGATGCAGAAATTATCTATTTTGGTAGATAGCTGGCATTATGCCTGTTGTTTTTCATCTTAGATTTATGTTGTCCTTTCAGTGAGGAAGATACTGTGTCTCTATTGAAAACTTCTGTTTTACTGCTGCTTAAATTGTGTTCTTTGCCAGCACCATGAAGGCTTAAAGCCTGCATTTCTGAAAGATCTTTATCCAGGCCATAAATAAATACATTAAAAATCTACCAAAGAAAGGAATGAAGATTTTGAACTAAAAGCCATATTCAGTACAAAACTCAATAAAGTTTGAACTAGCATCAACCACAAAAGCTGCAATCTTGGCTACTTTATTATCCATTGTCAAAGCCATATGTGCTCCAAGGCCTTTTCTTTTCTTAGCTCTTTGGCCAAGATTATCAAAACTCTTGCTATTATGGATACTATTGAGAAAATCCTTATAACCAGAAGAGAAGCCTTGTATACATTTCTAAGAACAGCCTCTCTTTCCTATTCTCCAAATTCTTTTACAATATCCTTATTTTTGGAAACTACTGTATCTAAATAAAGGGCAGCCATGGGAGGTCTTGAAAAACCCCATTCCTCCAGCCATAACTATAATTATCCATGAAAACAAGTACAGGATTTGATGAAAAGCATTCTAAGGATCACCGGAATATAGTGGGCAAGAATTCTGAATGCCTTACAGAGAAAAAATGATAATTCCTCAGACTGAAAAGCCTAATAAAATGATGTTTTTGCATCTGAATATCCTCCTCAGAGAGATGATCTTCCCTTTTACCTTAACACATGAAAAGTGATAGAGAATCCTCCTCAGAATTGACTGAGTTTTTTCTAGCATCTCATAGTGTGAAACTCAGTCCAGAATCTCCCCTTTCCTTTCTTGCTCCTTTCCTTTCCTTTTATCTATGGAAAAATTGAGCAAATCTCTAATATGTGATTTGTATATCTAAAATGATGGTTCAGTTCAAAGGCAGGAAGACTTTGATTAAAATTCCAGCTCTTTTCTGAAATAAAATACTTGATAGAAATTTTGTGTTGGGAAGAAAGCTATACAGACAGTGAGAAAGCAATTGCTAGAACAAGATATAAGAATATTGTTTGATCTGTGAGGAAGTAATTGGAAGACTTGTTCTTAATTATATTTTTTCTAATCTAAAGTTTGGAGTAGAGGAACTTTAATATGCTTTCTCTAATGATTGGTGAAGTCCGGATGATTACCTCTATCATATTTATTCCAGAAACTTATACACCTCTGCTGGGGAGAGATGATGGCTATCTGCAGCAGAGAAAACAGAGAAACAGAGTCTTTTGACTTTACACATTCAGATGTAATATTGCCCCCACATCGGGAAGACTTGGTTCCATAGCCAATTATTTGCTTCTCTACTTTTCTGGTTTTAGCTGGATTCTTCCTCATCTGAGAACCTTTTGAGGAAGCTGCAAGAAATCCTGGGCTTTCCTGCTCATTCTGATCACTAGATATAGTGCCAACAAAGCTTTAAAGAATTGTTCTTCATCAGAAGAAAAATATGGGTTTAATGGTAAAAAGCAAACTAACGAGATGGAAGTAGGTGGAAACTGTATGAAACATGAGAGGAAAAGCTGGTGAGCTAATGGTGATATAATATCCTGTCACAGAGCAAGACAGAAACAAATCTGGGAACTCTACTGGCTCTCTATTAGAGAGTCAATTTCGACTTCTTTTTGTGTATTATTACCTATCAGAGTACGTGAGAACAATTTCTAAGAATATTCTCTCTACTGCTGGAAAACATATCTACAGTATTTTATAATTTAACTATTTTTTCTAAACTGATAAGCAGTATGACATTTAAGTCCTTCACCAGATTCCAAATATCACATCAGTCAATGATCTTTTTCTTTCCTTGGTTCCACTCTGGCCATAACAAGCTGTTTTTCTATAATTCTATAATTCAACAGATTTCTTAGACTCAGTTAAATTCAGAAAAGAACAAGCAAAATTACTCACTCACTTTAGGCAGTGACTAAATTTGAAATATAAATATAAATAAAATTACAATTAACATTTTATTTTTAGTTATTATTTATACCAGTGTTTCTTAAAGAGTGGTCCTAGGACCCCTGGGGGTCCCCCAAGACCCTCTCAGGGGTCT